CATAGAGAAAATCAACACTGAAAGAAAGAAGTGCTGTTAACTTTGTCAGAAACTTGAGTTTAGGAGAGGAATAATACCTTGGTAATTACAAAGATTACCTTTATATTTTCTGCATTTCCCCTGCAACAGTAAAGGCTTCTTCCATTTATTTGCATAGAAACATCAAAGATAGTCTCAGGGGATCTGCAGAATTTCAGTGGTCTGTCTTTATTAAAACAAGCTGCTTTAATTAGCCTAACATGTGAAATGAAATCAATCAGTAGTTAGTATCTTTGATCAAAATCTGCACTAAAGCTAATTTCTTCAGAATGTTTGATTTGCAAACAGCAAATGAAACAGAATATGTTTGAACAAAGCTAATTAGGTGTATATCTAGCAGTCGTTTTGGTGGTATGTGAAATGAAATCAATCAGCAGTTAGTATCTTTGATCAAAATCTGTACTAAAGCTAATTTCAAATTGCAAACAGCAAATGAAACAGAACATGTTTGAACAAAGCTAATTAGGTGTATATCTAGCAGTCGTTTTGGTGGGGTGTATATATTAATAGCCATCACCTTTACATAAAATCCCAGTGAGCATTTTCTGGTGGGCATAATTTACAAGATATTGGTTTTGAAAAAAGTGAAAGAGGTTTGCCCCTTCTGAAAGCTGGCTCACATGTGTACTCCTTCAAAAACTCCTCTATTCTGAAACAGATGTAAAGTCCAATGTTAAGAAAATAATCAGAGATTATATTAAAATCCTACCCCACACAATGTCAATGCAGGACAGGGGTGCTTGCACTGTAAGGGAAGTCTATCAACTGAAAACAAAGAGAAAATTATTGCTTTGTTTCTCCAACTTCAGCTATATTGTCTTTTCAACACTTCATTTGAAATCTAACTCTTGTTGACAGAGGTTGGGAAGTAAGCATATTAAGGGATGCTAAACTTAGCATCCCTTGAGAAGCCTGAATAAATAGCTTTGCCTTTTCTGTCTATGTGCATGTTTGTACCTTCCTCATGTTTTCAAATTCAGCTCTGTTGGAAGCTTTGCCTCCACCTCTCTGAATAAGTCAAGGACCAGGCTAAGCACTAAGTTTATATGTGAGTATATCCGGAACATGTCAGTGAGAAAATGAAATGTTTTAGCATGAAGAATACATGAGGAAGACTCAGCTGTGGATGACTTCAGGTGTCAGACCTGCTGCACACAGCTGCTTCCATCCTAATTACCAAGGTTTGTGCTTACTCACCATCCCATGAGGGGTCACTCCTGCTCCAATGACCCCTCCCCATCCTCCCTGTGTCCTTTTTTTCTCCTGTACCTCCTCCTATGCCCCTCCTGCCTCTCTCTACTACAGCTGTGCTGTTGTTGTAGCCCCCCCAGCCCCAGTGAGGGCTCTTGCACTGTGATACTGCAAACATTCAAACCCAGGCAGCTGTGATGCCACCCTTGAACCTCCCCATGGCTCTTGTAGGCACCACAGCTTCAGTTTGCTCATTTTCAGCCTTGCAAACAGCACGGCTGGGTGAGGCTGGCACTGGAGGGATGTGAGAGTGGAAGCTGTGAACCATTGCTCGGTTTATGCATTGGCTTAGCTAACACTGCATGCATGGTGTCACATCGACATTGCACATTTAGGGAGTGATTCATTTCTGGCTGCAAGCTCATGCCACCTCCACATATTTTCTGAGAGAAACCTCTTACAGCACTTCCTCAGCACTACTCACTGCTCTCAGCTCAACTCTGCTGCCAGGAGCCCCCTGCACACCCAGACTTCCCTACATGTAATTTCAGCATCTCACTTCCTAACTGGAAATAGTTTGTACTGTAATGTAAGGAGATGACAAGCAAGAAAACAAGGAAGAACACTTCATGTCTTACAATCAAATTATTTTGATTTGAACAGTATCATGTTTTTCATCCATCCAGCTGGACTCAGTGTGCCTTTGGAATGAAACAGCATCCAACTATACACTGCCCTTCAATCCATAACCTGCCTTGCAGAGCGCAAGAGAGGCAAAAAGAGACACCGACACATGCTTGAAATGCCTTCTGTTTCCCAGTTAGAAACATCCCAAATCAGTGCAAATCTTTAGTCAAAGGGAAATTTTGTTCTGCTGGTGCCAAGCTTTGCATAACAGAGCCAAGCACAAATGCTAATGCAAGAGAGGCAAAAAGGGACACCGACACATCATGCTTGAAATGCCTTCTGTTTCCCAGTTAGAAACATCCCAAATCAGTGCAAATCTTTAGTCAAAGGGAAATTTTGTTCTGCTGGTGCCAAGCTTTGCATAACAGAGCCAAGCACAAATGCTAAGAGCTGAAGTGAAATCATGCTAGTCAATGAGGCAGAGCCTGCTTCTTCAAGCAGCAGTTCCTTTGAATTAAGGGTTATACCTTGGTCAGCACATTGAACTCCCACTGTGGGCTTGGGGATGCCAAGAAGGAGGTCAAAGAAGTGCAACATTAATAATGTCATGTTTTAAGAACAAACCATTGTCTGCTCTGCCTAACTGTGCTTTTGTTCTTTCTCAAACTCCATGCTCATCAGTTACTGAGTGCTGGGGTTTTGCTGCACTGGTTCTGCTAATCATTGTATATTTTATGTTGCATTTAGCATTTCATCAGCCATGAAAGAATCTGGACTTAAAATGGACGGGTCACAGTGAAATAGAATTTCAAGACAAAAAGAGAAATAGATTTAAGTAGAATGGTCAATTTGAAATAGACTTTTTTCCCTAGTGCAATTGAATTTGCGTTCATTTTCAATTTAAACAACAAATAAAAAATGAGGTATTGAGTCATCACAGCTGCCAGATAACTGTCAGAGTTACCCTGGGTTAAATTAAAATTATACTGCAGTAACTGCTCAAAGGTAGTTAAAATAGAATTAATTGAGTAAGCAATTTCTTTTCCTTTCTACTCCGTTTTTTCCTGCTGCAATGCATGTAGTTTTTAGGTACAGGAATATAACATTTATTCTACATTTCTGTGCTTACTTCCAATCTTTACAATCTTACTGATAGTTGTAAATTTGTTAAAGCTGGTCTAAACCCTTCCAATCAAATGCACTCAGTTATGTCCCAGGAAATAACTACTGCCTTCCATTGTAAACCCTTTCAATCTCATTTCCACAACTTTTAAAAGCCTCAGCTCAGCCCCCGCAAAGACAGTGTTAAAAGACCCACTGTGGATGGTTCTCAAGGCAAGATGCATAATTAAACTTTCTAGTTATTCTCTCAGTCTGTTCTCCAGAAACCCAGTCTTCCAACAGCAAAATCATCTGCAAATGCTACAAGCAGAACGCAGTTTTCCTTGTTCCATTCTGGGGAATGCAAGCAGGCACTAATCCCAAGCACGCTGGACACTTATGTCTCCACAGTCCTTGTGTAAATGACACAGCATGTCAAGGAATACTTGCTTTAACTGCTGCTTACCCACCTTATGGCTTTTCAGACATTTTACTTTTGCTAAGGGCAGAGGCATAGAAAACCACGAGGCAGATTAGAAGTAAAAAAATCAAACAACCCTAAAATGTTATGCCTGGTAGTAAGGCAGTATGAATGCTGTGGAAGATCAAGCTATTTTCATCTGCCCAGCACTGAGCCTGCAACTTGGAACCTGCTGTTCATCCTGATCTCTGATGTAGAAACCAGGAGCAATAGCTCTTAATTAACCTGTTTTGTTAGTAGCAAAATCAGTGACACCTGACCTACTGCAGATTTCTGTGTCACAGGTCATGTCCCAGTTGGATTCTCCACTTTTAAATAGTGGTGAGCTGACATTGCAGCCTTTACCACTGTGGGGGAACTAAGTCATAATTCTCTCCTCTACCCACCTGTGAATTTTCATGAAACTTGATGGAATTTCACACCTTTGAAGTCTCTACCTCCCTCCTGAATTTGCCTGAAATTGGTCAACATATTCAAAAAAGGGAATAGGGAACAGAAAAGGAAAAAAACAAATATCACAGCTTTATAAATCCTATTTCTTTGTGAAACCCAGCTAGAAACAGAAGTTAAAAGCAAGGGAATTCTTGCAAATACACTACTGTTACAGGCAATGCAAAAAAAGAGTGATACTATGAAGGAGTGATACTATACTATTTGTAAGTAACGTAGTTACTTATTAGTAAACTGCAAGTTACTAATTAGTAAACTCATTAGTAAAATGCAAGCTAAATCTATCAGTTCTTCCTCTGAGCTTAACACCACTCTCAATTTATACCAGAGAAAGCTCTGCATTACGAAATTAATCATATTTCATGATGCTTGGCTATGATCAGTCTACTGTGAGGTGCCCATTGGACATGCTGTTATTTAACCAAGATTGTTACTTTTTCCAAAGAGAGAAAGGAAATTGTTAAGAATTTCTACAAATTCCTTCCTCCTTCTTACACCTTCCTTTACCCAGATGCCCCAAAGACTTTCTATGACTTCCTCACATAAATAAAAGTATTTAGGAAGCCAAGCTAAATCTACAAACAAATCACATAGTATCTCAGATCCTGTCTGACATAGCCAGGCAATCTTAGCTGCAAGAGCTCTGGGTTTTTTTCTTCTATTTAAGAAATATAGTTTCAGGAAAGTGTTCCTGATAAACTTCTTGCACAGGATGAGATCATCTGCTAGGGTGGAGCTGATAATGTAGCTTGTTGCTGCTCAAACTGCTATTTTGCTCTCTTCCCATCCTTTTCCCAGTTACATGCTCCTGGCCAAGCTCTGGCACTTAAGTGATTCTGCCCTCAGCCAATTCAACTCACTAAACCAGCAGAAAAGTAAATTCAGTAAAACAAAGTAAGCTGCTTTTTGTTTTGCCTTGTACAAAGGAACTTACTGGTCCATTCATGCTTCTCTAAAGCTTCTCAGAAGTGGTGAAACAAATGACTAACATTTTGAGGCAGATGAAGTAGTTCTAAGTCAACTGGAAATCTCTGCTTTTCATATTTAATACAGTCTGATACGAAAAAAATAAATTAAAATGTAATTAAACATTAAAATTAATGTTACTTACTATTTGTCTTCTGTTTTCTACCAGGTAGATGCCAACAATCCCTAGGAAAGATCCAAAGCCAAGCTAAGGCAAAGAACAAAACCAACAGAAATGCATGAGGTCAGCTTATCTGGGTAACATACCGACACACACAACAATATCTGAGCTAATGCACTACACAGGTGGGCTAAATGGGGTGGGTCAAGGAAAAGGTGGAAGTTACTGTTGGACATAAATCATATAATGTAATGGGAAATGGACAGGACTGTAGCTCTTTCATAGTTCAGTGAAAAATTTGTCGCACAGTAAACCGAAGTCCATAAAGACACACATCTATAACCTGACTACTGTTACCATTGTCATGTATAGTTTACACATTGTAAAGCAAAAATCTAAGTAGGAGACACAAACACTTACATTTAGTTCACACATAATAATTTTTGAAAATTGCAAAGCTTTAGGCAATTGCAGACAGTTTTTCTCAAAAAATTGCTGTGTTCCCCAAAATTCAAACCCTTAGTTACACCTGTTTGATTTTAATGATTAGACGCTATCACACAACCCAGAAAAAATCCTTGCTAAAATGCTAAAAGGACCAGTACAGTCAGATGCACCACCAACAGCCACAGGAGAGAGAGAGGAGGGAGGGACACTGAAGTAAGCTGGCCTTAATGTTCCAGTGTTGCTTCAACATAGGGATGGTAGGGAAAGCCTCCTCCTTATGATGGGCCATGAAGGTTTGGAGCAGTAGAAACTCCTTGGATTCCCAGTTCCAGCCCCTCTCTGTAATGAGGCCTCTGAACTGAGCTCAGAGCCTCTCCTCCAAGCACAAATTAAGTTTTTTAGGACTACATGTCCCAGCCAAGGGCTTAAGCAATGCCCGTAAACTCCTTGCTGTTACGCACAGCTGCTCAGCGCAGAAAGCAAATCCCCTGCAAGCACTTCAGCCACTCAGTATCACAAGAGGAATCCGTCACTTGCTTTCAAGAAAGCAACTGCAGGGAAAGGAGATTTGCTCTTGAGTGCTTTGGGAAATTTATGTGAAAGGGAGACGCAAGGACTAAAAGCAGAGACTTTGAAAGAGTGGGCAAGTGCACCCATGCTGACAGCTAAATAGCAGAGATACTTGGAACGGTGAGCAAGGACACTCTGTTCAGGGGACGGCAACTTTGCAAATGAAGATAACTACATCAAAATGACAGCTGGTTCCAAGCCCCAGTTTTCATTCCAACAGGAACAATCCATAAAGCCTCATTTATGGCTGATGCAGGGAGCACAAAATGAGTAATATCCATCCAAACAAAAAGAATGACCACAGAACAATAACAATTAAATCAGAAGAAGCAGAATCATAGAGATCATGATGAAAGCCTCAGCATTACTGAGATTGTTTTGAGTCATATGAGCTAGTTTTTTGTCTTTTTAGACAACAGGTTATTTGGGAGCTCTGGGAGTCCAGTTCAGTATGGTGCTGGGGACCCTGTTGAAAGAGTACAGAAATGGCAAACAAAGATAATACAGTAAGTAGTCACAGAGAAGTGACATTAAATATTTAAATATAAACAATATTTATAAAGAAATGAGGCTGAAGCAGTTCCGACTCTGTCTTTGCAGACCATTCCAGAAATGCAAATTCCAAACACATGCTCAAGCAGTAATCTATTAAATGCAGACACCTTCCAAAGAGTAACTGTATTAACTCATCTACACACAGAAATACTTTATGTTCAATTACATTGGATGCATAAGTTCAGGTAATACCTGACACTATAAAGATGTATTTAGAAAAAAGATTTTTTTCAAAACATATTACAAGTGACTACATACGCAGGGAAATTAAGGCACTTAACTCTTCTTGAAGCCAGTGGGAACTTGGCAGAAGCCAAAGCATATTATGGCTCTAACCCTAAAGACCTGTTCTGTAAGTACTTCTAGAAACAAGTAAATCTCTGCCAGTGGATAGTGTTACTCATCTCCATAGGTGTCTTCAAGGCAGGGTTAATTCTGCATGGTTTTTAAGACCAAAATTGCTTACCTTAGGTCAGTGGAGCTTTTATCTCATCTACCAGCTGTAAAATTAATATTTTACTACTGAATTCTATGAGAACTAGACCTTATTTTAAATTTAAATTAACACTGTCTGTCCTCATTCTTGCTTTTCTCTGAGCCCAGCAGTTAAATATGTAGTGACAAATTCATTCCCTAGGTTTAGGTATCTGAGAGTCTGGGATCAGAGCTGTGCTGGTTTTCTAAGCTCCCTCTACTGTCAGCAGAGAAGAGAAGCACCTTTTGAGGGCTATTCGGGTCATTCTGAAGGAGGTGAGGGTGAGAGGGGATTCTGCCCCTCTGTTCTGCTGGGATCCCACCGGAGTGCTGCCTTCAGTGGGGCTCCAGCATAGCAAGGACATGGACATGCAGGAGTGAGGATAGAGCAGGGCCACAAAGACAGTCAGAGGCTGGGGCACCTCTCCTGTGAGGGCAGGATGAGAGAGTTTGGGTTGTTCAGCCTGGAGAAGAGAAGGCTCTGAGGAGACCCAATTACTGCCTTCCAGTTCCTAGAGATGTCTTACAAGAAAACATGAAGACATAAGACAAGAGGTAGTCTAATCTAATCTTCAAACTGAAAGAAGGTGGGTTTTGATTAAATAGTAGGAAGAAATTCCTTACTGTGAAGGTGGTGGGACTGGAATAGGTTGCCCACAGAAGTTGTGAGTGCCCCAGCCCTGGAAGTGTACAAGGCCAGGTTGGATGGGACTTTGAGAACCTGGTCTAGTGGAAGATGTCCCTGTCCATGGCAGAGGAGTTGAGACAACCTTTAAAGTCCCTGCCATCCCAAACCATTCTATGATCGACAGTCAGTGTGCCAATGCTGCACTGGAGTCAGTCACTTCTGGCAGTGAGGCAGAAACATAACAGTGCTGTCACACACCTCTGACCAGGTTTTTGGCAAGACACCATGTAAGATTTGCATAGCACTTTTAATTCTTCCTAAATGTTTGTGATATTTAGTATCTTGATGACATTTAGATTGGCAATTACAATGTATAATTATTAATAAAATATTTTATTTTCAAAGTATTCTAATAAATTCTTGCTTTTTCTATCTGTTTATTAATGAAAACAAAATTTTTAAAAACTATTTTAGCAGGTGATGTTTTTCAGATGAATGAGTAGACATTCCATTATTCCTACAAGAAACAAAATGCTGAAATGACCTGTTTTGTACCCATGGTTTATTACTTATTATACTTATTAAGAACAGCAGTTTAAAAATGAAACTTTTATTTAGGGATGAATGCAGATAATGTGGCCTTAGAAAAGATTTTATGTCAAATTTTGGAAGAAGAGATCTTTATCAGTATTAATCTGTTTGAGGTTAATGAACGAGAAAATCACTCTGTTAAAGTCTTATTCCTGGAACTGCTTTTTGCTCTATTTTTAAAACACCACTCCTTATAGATCATAATCCTAAAATTATCTTTCTGAAAGTCCTGCTCTCAACATAACACTAAGATGTAAGAGGAATTGTTTAGGAGGAATAGTTCTAACTCACAAATTATTAATGGTGTATGCACAGTATTAGAAGATCCATATCCCTCTTCCCTGGGCATTTCATTCCATAGAGAGCAAGAAATTACAGTACATTACTTTGGCAGTAGTGGAGCCACACATCTAAGTAGTGTCTAACTCTAAACATGTGAATTTCTTTCTTCACCTTGCAGCCTCTACCTCCCGTTGGTTGACTCAGCCTTTCTCTATTTGCTACCCATATTCCTTGTATTTAAAACTCAAGTATTTAATTTAATTTTTCTTTTTTTTTTTTTTTTTTAACTCCAGGTGTTTACACATTTTGGGATATAACTGATCCCTTCTCCTGGGAGTTGAACCAGCAAGGGGCTGGCAGGCAGGGTTACTCGTCCCCAGAAGCCACGGAGGCACCACAGGGCAAAGCAGGCAGAACTTGAACCTTGTGCCACTGCAGGAAGGCTTTTAAGCAGTCTGTTCCCAAGGCAAAATCAAGACTAAGAATTTTGTAAACAGGAACTTTTATGAGAGAACTGGCAGCAAGCCTGCAAGAAAGGATGCTAGGGAGAAGTCTCCACATGTCCTTTTGCAGGGCTTTCCCTGCCATGGACACAGCAGAATTCCTGGCACACAGACACAAGAGTGGAGTGGCTCTTCCTCCCATCAAAGCAGCAAACTTCTAAAAGGTTGTTCAAATCTATCCCATGCTACTGTCCAGTCACACAGACACCCACCTCTAATGGAGACCTGTGGGGGTCTAGCACAGATTTTCACAGTTCCCTGAGCCCAGCACAGTGCAGCCTTGAACTCCTTCCATTCCCTAACAGCCTCCCCTTCTGGGCACTTCAGAAAAATAATTTACCCCCATGCCTTACAACACACGGGAACTAGATCAAAACAAAGCAGCATCTCTCTCCCGTGAAATGACATGGTACTAATGGGTTGGTTTTTTAAATCTATCAGAGCTTCCCATTTACAGGTCATAATAATTTATTTGGACGTACCTAATATTCTAAAATGGGTTTTTATACTTACAACAATGCCTGGGTAGTAGCCTCCCACAGTAACATTTTCTGTTCGTGTGGTAGCTGCCAGACCTATGGTGAGTATGAAGACAGACACCACCAGCAGAGCGACTGTGAACCAAAGGGAAGTCTTCTTCCTTTTTGCAAACTGTCCTGTAGGGAGTGAGGGGGGGAGAGGGGAAAAAGAAAAAGAGCTTTTCATTGCAATCATGGCAGAACAAATACAAAATGATGAAAGATTTTCTTTTGTTAATCTTTTCTGTAGATAACCCTCTGTTGTTATCCTATTGCAAAGGTTCCACGCCTTCTTGGTTATTTTCAGGGGCAGCCCCTCACAGCACTGACTCCTTCTTCTCAGCACAGCAAACACCTTCTTGGTTATTTTCAGGGGCAGCTCCTCACAGCACTACCTCCTTCTTCTCAGCACAGCAAACAACTCCATGTCCAACCTCAACCAGCCAACCTGCTCTTTTATAGTACACCTCTTAATTGGATCCAGCTGTGGCCTATTAAGGGCAGGCTTGTTCTTCATTCTTGATAATTAGCACAGCTGTAACTCTTTAGGGGTGAGATTACTTTCACCACTATCTCTATTCCCCTACCTTTTATCTAACCACAGTTCTCCCACTTAGGAAAATTGCTGCCAGACAACAGAAGGAATTTTTAAACCTGCAGAGGTAGCTGGAGTATTGCTTAATGCACACACATTGGGTACAGGCATGAGATGAGTTTTATTAAACTGAACTCTAAGTCAGTGACAATGATAATTATGCCTTGTCTTCAGTAACATTTTTAATTGTTGTTCACATTGGTGAGATCCTGCAGGATTTAAATTCTTACCTGTGTGAAGTGCCAATTTGACTTATCTGGCCTGAACATAAAAATGAATATTTTAAACAAGATTAGCAAGTGGTCTGCATGCTATCATGAAAATGAATGTGCTCTTCATATTTACTGGGGTAAGAAATCTGCATCCTTGAAGCAAAGCTGTAACAGAGTTTATCAGGTAATGATACGTGAGACTTTTCCAACAAGGGCTGCTCAGTGGAATCCTTTCAGTCTCACTAGGATTTGGGTCCAGATACCCCAAAGTGAAAACCAGCACACCCATCTCCAGCTTGCAGCCTGCTCCAAGGCACTTAACCCTGTTACCCAGTGGCAGATCTGAGCTGTAGCCAGAGGTTACTCAAACCAGGGTCCCATCCCATAGCACAGACTTACGTAAGCCTAAAAAAGCCATTAATACGTGACTCTAACTAACAAAAGACACCCAAGTGAATCGAACTGTGGTCCCCATTTTTGGTGTTCTCACTTTGGAGTGTACAGGATCACCCTGCAGCACTGGCCCATGCAATGCCATGGTACCATACACTGCACCTGGGCAGGATGGAGCTCCTGAGAAAGCACAGCCTGGTCACAGCAGGGCCACTCTCTCTCCCTCTGTGGCCTCAGGAAGCTGCCTGACTGCCCAGCCTCGGGAGAAGGCAGAGTCTGTGATGTGGCACTGAAGCCTGGAGGCAGCAGCCCTCAGCAGCAAGGAGGAGGTGAGAGGGGAAGGCAGGCTTGTGTGGGTCAGGCTCTGGGGGCACTGCTGGAATCAAAACCAGGGGAAATGCAGGAAAGACAAAAAGAAAGCAGAAGCCATTTGCAATGAATCGCTTGAGTTTTGTGGCCATTTTAAAGTCACGTAACTCAATTAAATGTTTATAGATCAAAATCCAGACTAGATTAGTGATGTTTGCAAGCCAAGTCAAATAATTTCAATCACTAAAAAAATGAATTTATAATAACAAGCTGTGTTTGCTGACGTTTCTCCAGTAGAACAACCAGTCAAAATGATTCCAGTCTTTTAGTATTAAATACAAGCAACTTTCCTAAAGGCAAATACCATTTTTGAGCTTACAAATGTCTCTTTCACCTGCATATACAAAGTCTTCCTGCTAAAGATAAAGAAATAACTCCTAAGACTCGCCAAACGCCTCTCCTCCAGCCTGTGTCTCTGCTATCTTCCTCTGGCAATTCCCTGTTAATCCATGGAGGGTCACTGGGCACATGGAAGCAGAGAGGTTCTTTGTCAGCAAGCAGTTTTTCACCAAGTGTGTGGAGTGAAGATGGTTCTTTCAGAGAAGCCAGTTCATAGGGCCAAGAGGGAAAACTAGATTTTAATTGTACAGCTCCCCAAATCAGCTGTCATCCCTACAAATTAAAACTATTCATTCAATATATCTTCCAGATTGTAAATAATATCTGATGCCCTTGCCATACCTTATCATCTTTGAAAAGTCATGGAGATAAAAGAATCCCCAAAACTAAAGAAAGGCAAATGTTGCACCTGTTTTTAAAAAGGCTAAAATGAAGATTCAGGGGATTATAAACCAACCAACCTCACCTTGGCTCCTGGGATGCTGGGACCAAAAAGGTGGAGTAAGTCTTTTTGTAAGACACTTCTGGGCACAGAAGGAAAAGGTGACTGTCAACAGTCAGGATGGATTTACCAGAGACAAATCATGTCTGAGCAGCCCAGGTGCTGGCTATGGCAGAAACACTGGACTTGGGGAACACTGGATGTCTTTTGCCTTAATTCTAGCAAGGTTTTTAACATGATGCCAAGTTCTGAGCAAAGAAAGGAACAACGCATTGCAATGATGCAGGTAAGGGACTGCCAGGCTGCAAAGCAGCTCTGCTGGAAAGGACCTGGGGGTATTGGTAGATGATGAGCTGATCATGAACCAGCAGCGTGCCCTAACAGCAGAATCCTGGGCTGTACTACCAGGAGCATCATTAATAGATCAGAGGAGCAACTACACCCATTTATTCAGCACTTTTTAGATGACACAATATTGCACCCAGTTTTGGACCCTCAGCATAGGGAAATACATAAATTAACTGCAATGAATTCAAGAGAGGACTGCAAAGAAGGTCAGGGGCTGGCTCTCTCTGTATGAGACAGGCTAAGGGAACGGGGCTTGCTCAGCCTGGAGATGAGATGACTTTTGGCAGGGCTAGTTGCAGTCTTCCAATTCCTTTGAGTTGCTGTCAAGAGAACAGACTCAGGCTTTTCATAATGGTGCACAGCAGGAGGCAAAAAGACAGCAGACAAACTGAAATACAAAAGTGTTTCAGACTGGGTATAAGGAGGAAAAAAAATCAACCTTAGGACAGTCAGACATTGGAACAGGTTGCCCAAATAACTTGTGCCCTCTCCAACTTTGGAGGTTTTCAAGATTCAAGCAGAAAAAGCACTAAGCAGCCTAGCCTGATGTCATAGTTAATCCAGCTTTGAGCAGCAGGTTGGAATTGCAACTGAGGTACCTACCTGAATTCTTTTATGGTTTAATGATAGTCAAGACAGCTAGAGTAAGAGTGGGTTGGGTATGTGTGCTCATATCCGCTGATATGAAGCTGCAGCTACAATGCAGACATACTCTAAAGGGACACAGGAACACAAACCTTCCCAAAGCCAGTGGGGCACATGCTCCCCAGCCAAGACTTCTTGAAACCACTGAAAAGTGCCTGAGGAGCCAAGCCTCCTCAGAGCAGCACCTGTACTGGCAAAGGTTGATAAGACTGGATGGAGATAAACTATGGCTCCAACTCTCCCTCCTGAGTTCTGATTATAAATAATGAAAGGCATGAATATGATTGCCCTGAGTTGCTGGAAAATGTCTTAGGAAAAGCATGCTCTTATTTGTAATTGGAATAAATCTGATGTGGATTTAGTAAGACAGAATAGAAAAATATGTCATTATTTGTAGGGACATTTTTTGTTATGAACTACATTTTTACATTGAAATTTACACATGCTAGAATAAATTTATGAATGCAATACTCTTCATCCTTATTGATATTTTACCACCTGTAGCTCAAAATAGAGAGAAATATCCAATTGCACCTCCCCTTTTTCGTAGTCTAGGAAACTCTGATAAATAACCACGTTGTTAACTATGAACTCCACCCTTAGGAGAGATGACTTATGTGCAGGAGCACAGAAAGGCCCTTTCTGGAGAAGAGGCTGGCACATGCAAGGACTTATTCTCAATGACTTCCACATGCTCAGAAAAGATGGATAGAAATCAGCCTAAATTGGTTTTTATCATGGCTATTTGGTTTTCCTTAGTCACAACAATAAAAATCTTTGCTCTATCAAAGTATGTACAATTATATGCATATAAGCCACCAGCATACTGGGAGGCCTATAGCAAAGCAGCTTAATATTTTCAGAAGTTACTGCTGCAAAGGGTTCCCACAATTAAAAGGCTTCCTTTTGCAATTTCAGTCATGTTGGGTCCCACCATTTTTCAAGCCTTTGTTTAGTGCTGTTTGTGGCAGTTGCCATGCAGTTTATTTGGGTCTGTTTTCCATGCACCTGCCAGCCAAAACCCCATGCCAGACCCAGAAGCCCTGTCTCCAGCTCAGCCTGTGTGCCCGGCTCAGCCTTCTTCCCTGACACTCTGCGGCAAGGCTTGGACTGGAGGCTGGCCTTACACAAGAATAGCAGTTAAATTAAGAGCAGAGGAAACACTGCAGTCAATTATTTGTAGCCTGAATTTTCTTCCAATACCAATGTTCCTGGAGTGCAGGAAACGCTTAATGGAGGCTATTCGCTTTCCAATTTTTCTAGTACTGAAGTAACTCTCAGAATAATTTTGACATTTATTACCTTCAACTTCTTCAGCAATGATTGGTATGAATATTATTAAGCTCCTAGTCTGGACCTTAATGCAATTTAATTATAATTTTAAATTCTTTAGCATACCAAAACCGAGTTTGTAGGGAGAAACTTTCTCCTGTCCTTATTAGCATTAGCATGGGGTCAGTAGAGGGTGTGAATATGTTATTAACCTCTACTGGCAATATACTTCAGCAGTTTTGGCCAGTGAAGTATTGACTGAGCCTTGGGCACTTATTATTGGGCAGTATTAACTGCAGCAATAGGCACTACAGATAAATTAGAGAGGTAACAGAACTTCCACATGACAGCCTTGTGCTTTGCCTGGCGCGGACCTAAACTGTGAACAAAAAGGAACAGCCACAGAAACACTCTCTGCTTTGCTCACTGAACATCTGTCAGGAAAAGTATCTGCTTGATACTTTTGAGAAAATGCCACCAGGACAAAGAAGAGAGACACCAGACTGCTGCCTCCTTGGGACTGAGAAAGGCCTGTGAGGAGGGAAATTGAGATTACACTCCAGAGAGCAAAAAGAAAAAGTGCCTGCTGAAGACCACACTCTGCTGCACTCAGAAAAAAAAAAACTTCTGTCTGTTCATCAGCTGAGAAAACAAAATTGTATTACAATGCTCTGTTTGCAATGGGTGGGGATTAAATTAAATTTATAGGAAGACTATGGAAAAATAAATGGTTTTGTGGGGAGGGTATGCATGAGATTGCAAAGTGGTGAGTCTAATCATGAATAGTAAGGTCTGGATTTGAACAAAGCAAAGACTGCGTTTAGAAGGGGAATGAATTAATTAATGATGAAACATGTCTGTGGCACAAAATGTGTCCAGGGCCCATGGGAAGGAAAGAATAGAATGAAACAGCATCTCTCCACCTTGGAATACCTCCATATGATCTGCAACTGAACTAAAAAATTCTACATTTAGACCAAAGAAATGATACTTGGCTAACTTCACTACTTCTTTTAAAATTTATCTTCAGACATCATAAAGTTAAAAAGTGTGGCATAATTTTGGGGGAGAAAAAAAGTCATGTAGGATATAGCAGTTAGCTGGGCTGAATATTAGCGCTACATAATTTCACACCTTCTTCTTTGGTCTAGTTATGGTAATCAAAATGGAAACACTTCTTTCAAGTGACGCCCCAGCCCGATGTTTATTTGCATCTTACTATGAGAAAAAGAAGGAAACTTTTGTAAAAGGAAAAAAACAGTGCATTTTTATTATGTAATGGATACTACTAAAAATTGCCAGAGAGTGGCATTAAGCGCACAGAAAAAGATAATTTAAGTGGAAATTCACCACAGACAAACCTTAGTACCAAATGTATCTGCTGTTTTGCTGCTATTGAGAAAATTTTTAGGAGACTTTTGGAGCTAGATTATAAATTTTCAATTGCTGCATCACTCACTTCAGTGACACATCTCTCTCAACTACAGTTTTGTGTATTTTAAAAACTGTTTCATGCCAGTGAAATTAAATTAATCCTATATGGCCCCCGAAAATTAAATGTGACGGATTGAGATGCTTAAAAGAGATGCTCACACCTGCTGTTGGTGATTACTTTCCCTTTTCTGATTAAATGCTTGACTTGTCCAGAGTGCTGAACTAATTAAACCAGATGCAACAGTATTCATTTCAAGCCACAAGACAGCAGCTTTTATCAGGCCCATCTCTTACCTTTTTTATTAATTAGTTGAGTAAGCTTCTACAAGTGCATTATACATTCAAGACCATGGGAAACAGTTTACGATTCTACTACAAAATATCCATACTGAGCAAAATGAAAAAGCAACCCACAACCCCTGCTATACTATGTCGTAGGGCTATAGTAAGTGATACCATGCAGTATCACTATGACCTCATGGTTTTGGCAGCAATTGTTTCACCAATAAATAATTTAACAAGCAGCTAATCGCTAGTTTATACCTGGCATACAGATTCTTCTTTTTCCATGACTGCCTGAAAATGTTTTTAAGTTACAGCACATCCTCCATGGCCACATTTTCAACACCAACATAATTTTTCTGTCAAGTTTAAGACAAAAATTAAGATCTGGTACATTTTTCATTCACAGAGCTGGCATACAGATTCTTCTTTTCCTATGACTACCTGAAAATGTTTTTAAGTTACAGCACATTTTCAACACCAACATAATTTTTCTTTCAAGTTTAAGACAAAAATTAAGATCTGGTACATTTTTCATTCAGTTGTTAAGATCCTTGAGTGCATATCAAAGTCTCTGCTTATCCTGCCAAACGTTACACAGAGTAATTGCCAACAGTAAGTTCCGTATTTTCTAAACTTCAACAAATTCCTCTGGAATAAGGAAATACTTGACCTTTCTTTTGCCTAGGTGTTTGTATTTCAGGACGCACGCTGCAAACACAAGCCACACAATCAGGAGAACCATGAGGACGAGAGCAAACCCAGCCCTGTCCCCAGCCCGCCCCGCAGCACGGCGGCTCCCGCAATCATTCCCTGTCCGCGTCCCGTACCGAGCCCTTCCTCGGAATGCCAAACCTCCGGCTGGGGGCTCGCCCGGCGCAAAAAGCTCTGAGGAAGAGCCGGTGGTTTTAAACAGCTCGATGAGCGGCGGCGATCCCGGGCTGAGCCCCCGCTGCACTGCCGCTCTGCGGGGCCAGCCGGGCACAGTCCCATCCCGTCCCATCCCATGCCATGCCATGCCGTGCCGTCCCATGCCCCGAAGCCCCGGGGCAGCCCGGCGGTCCAGCCCCGCGGCTCTGTCCCGCATCACCACGGCGGGGCAGGGCCGGGCTCACCTGCGGGGTCCAGCAGGGCCAGCGGGCCCGGCACGCCGGCGGCGGGCGGCGGGGCCATCCTCTGCCGGGGCTCGCCGGCCGGCCCCGCTCCGCTCGGCGNGAGGGCGCTGCCGCCGCCGCGGGGGAGCCCCCGCCCAGCCCGGCCGGCCCCGCTGGCCGCAGCCCCCGGGGGAAGCACCGACCGGCCGTCTGCTGCTTCGTTCATTGCGTGTCCTGCCCGTGCCTCAGCCCTGGCGTCGCTCCTGGATTTCCTCTTGGCCAGTTTGGCACCTGGTGGAGATCGGAATTGTCCCAAACTTTCCTTTCAGGTTTCTTCTTCACTTAAAAATATATATTTATATATAAAAATCAGAAATAAAATGAAACAGCAATGAGAAATATGAAGTAAATGACTAAAGCTGGCATCTCAGAGACATACGTTAAGGAAGGTGTAGGCTAAGACAGGAAATGTCAGTAGTTTAGAGATGTCAATAGTCAAGAGAACAGGGCTGTTCTTTTTCTCACATGGTGTCTATGTATTTCTCAACGTCACTGTCTCAGTTTTTATTCTGACTCTTGTCCTGCTGCTTCCCAGGAGCTGCCAGCTGTTGCTTCTAGTGCTACTTACTGCAGGGTTGTGTGACATCTGCCTGCAACAGAGTCTAGCCACAACTGAGAAGAAATAGCCAAAGGCACTGTGCTGTTTTGATGTCCGCTGTTCCTTTTGTCTGATTTCCCTATAGCAGAGAACATAATAATTTTTTTGTGGAAAATGTTTTTGATAGGCTGCCAAGTGGTTTGCTTATGTTGTGTTCTCCCACTTGCAAAAAGCACAACTCTACTTAACATTCTTGTTTTTCTTCTGTTCCAACCTCTGAGTGTATATGTATATACACTCTTCAGTCTTTGGCAGATTTCCCCAGGAAATGGTTAGTTGAAAAGAGACAGCTTTCTCAGGTACTACCCCTGTAGTGTAAAAAGACAAGTAAGCCAGGAGCCAAACACAAGTCCACTTTTTTCTCTTTGCATCCTCTCACCTGAAGAGGTAGAAGAAAGGAGAAAAAATAGGGTAGTGCATTCTTTGGAAATTAGGTTTGTCACTTGTGAGATTTTGATCCTGTGTGTTCCTGAAGTATTTTTTTCTTTATTTTGAACATGACCAATCTGTTTGATCTTTCTTCTCGGGTCATGTTTTCTAGGCTAACAGACATTCCCTTTGCTTCCCTCCAGCCTCTGTGTTGTCACACTCTTTGTGGGCCACACCTTTCTTTAAGGGTGATGTAAAATGACTGGGCAATATTCACAGAATCACAGGTTGGACGGGACCACAGTGGATCACCTGGTCTAACCTCCCTGCACAAGCAGGATCATTCTAGAACACATTGCACAGGATTGTGTGCAAAGAGTTCCTGAATATCTCCTGTGTGGGTCACTCCACAACCAAAACAATTATTTTTCAAAATAATTCTGAATCCTAAGTCCATCTAACAGCATCATTCCTCTAAAATACTTAACAGTTTCTCCCAAATTTATATCCTCTGCAAATTTAATGTACTTTATATCCAAACCCATCAGTGACCATACTAACAATATCAGACAGCACTTCTGCGCCTTCTGTCTTCCAGTACCATTGATAGGTATGACTGTCCAACTACTTACTTCATCTCCTCTGTGCTACTGTAATTTACACTGTTTCTCTGTAAAGGGTCTGGTACAGGCTCAGAAATCAGTCAGAGACTACCAGAGTGAAGCAGCTCAAATGGCCCCAACGCACTTAACTCTTCACCACAGTACTTGGACTACTACTGTATTCCTCAAAAAGTCTGGGAACTGTCTCCTCCTTTCATTATTGGAATGCCCAGCAGAAAGGTAAGCCAGTCATTGCTGAGGCAAAATTCAGGATGTTTGATAAGCTGGCTTGCCCAGTCACACAGGGTCAGCAAGCCAAGTAAACTTCCTTGGTTCATATAAATAGTATTTATTGGCACAGTCTAAATATAAATATACATATTATATACATATAAATATACATATACATAAATATAGAAATATACATATATATATATACATATAAATAGTATTTACTGGTACAGTCCCTTGAGAAGTACTTTGCATTAGTTCAGCTGAGCAGTATAAGGGAATCATGCAGGAAGTGAAAAGAACAACAGAAGTAGCCCTGAAGCTGAGATAAATGGCCACTGAATATTTTACTAAAATATGGCTATTAAAAAACAATTTCTGGGCAATTTTCTTCAAAAAATCTGCTTCCTGGTGCCAGTCAGAATCCAGGGTGTGTTTTATTAGCACAAGATTTAAAAGACTGCCTGACTTCTTTAAAAGGGACTTGAAAAGGTAAAGCTGTTTACAGCATTGTTCAGAGGGATCAGAAATAAGTGAATGACACACTCATTCATGATATATGTTTGTCAAAAGCAGGTTTAAATTCTTTAATTGCTTTCAGTACACTTTTCACCTACTAATTTCTGCAGTCAGTTTTTGAATTCTATAAACTTTTAGCATTCACAACATGTGACAAGGAGCTCCATGTGTGCTGTGTGAAGGAAGACATGGGATATCCCAATGGGAACAAGAGGCAAACTGAAAAGAGCAAGGTAAAAGTCAAGTTAAATGTCAGGTATATTTGAAGTCACAGGAGAATATACCTGAGGACAGGTACATGGCCCTTACAAAAACACCCCAACAAAACAACAAGCAAACAATTGCCACATGATACCAAAAGACATTGTGTTATTTATATGTTAATAAAGCTAGATAATGAAATGTGTGGATAATGTACTGGAGACCATTCTTGTGCTGTAGCTCATAACGATATCAAGACAACAAATCTCTGAAAACTGAAGAAAAGGTTTTCAGAGAAGTACCTGTTTTTGAAATATTGTCATACTGATAGAGCCTAAGTTTATATAAGGTGCATATGTACCCCTCAAATATGGTAAATAAAGGTGTGTTTGAAAGGTACCAACAATAGCCCATCAGAAGCATGACTGAAGAAAAAAACAATGTAGAAATGTCTACACAGTCCAACCAGTCCAAACAGGAATAGATCATCAATTTTTGGAATGCATCAGGAAACTTCTCTGGAAAATGCCTCTTAAATTTCAAAACTATGCCATCACCAAGAGAATAACTCAATCTGGAATGCAGATGTAGTAATGAAATTTTTATAACAGGAATAATTTCAATTACACTTCTAGATAATTAACATAAAGTTTAATTAATTATTTTTCCTAGCTCAAAGCATCTTAAAAAATTCCTTTGATAGCATAGTGAATTATACTATCCCTTTAAGTTTTTTGAAGCCCAGAAGTAAGTGAGACACCCTGTACATTTTTTCATGTCTGTTGGTGCCTTATTTAGTCAGGTGCCCCCATCCATGTCTGCTGTAGTGACACCAAGTCAAGGACAATGTGTAGTACAGTCTCAGTGAGGGAAAAGAGCTCCTCACGCCTCACTTCTCCCACCCAGGCAAGGTTGTTTCCACCATATATTCTGAGCAGCTTTGCTTGGTTGAGTTTTAAGTCTCGCTTATGAAGTTCTCCTTTCCCTTGACAGGCAGTTTTACAAGTTTAATGGAAAATGAGGAGACTCAAGAGCCAAGTTCCACACTGACAACCCCTCAAGAGCTGTAATGTACCACAACATTTGTCAAAGTGATCTCCTAATTGTTTTACTGATGTACTCCTTTAACTTCAAGAACTCACCGTACTCTTCATAAACTCTGGACAATAAATTATGGAATTAGAGCCATATTCTGACATGCAGAATTTGCAGTTTCCTCTGAATCAGAAATGTCTTGTAAAGTCTGTAGAATGTGGTAGGTTGGCTCAGCTGGGAAGAAGAAAGAAGAAGCAGAGGGTGAGCAGAGACCCTTCCAAGGGTCAGCCTTGGAAGCTTGTTCTAGAAGAAAATCTACCATGGAGAGGTATCCATGTAAAGAGGTATCCAGTAAGGGAAGCTTGTTCTAGAAGAAAATCTACCAGCCATGGAGAGGTATCCATGTAAAGAGGTATCCAGTAATGTTGAGTGAAACTCTTTCTCCCTCTCAGAGGGTCCTTAGGAGCCACCTACCTATTCAGAGGGGAATAAGATGGAAGGCTCTTACTGCAGTCCAGTGTTTCAGCATTTTCACAGCACTCACATCCATTGAAAATATCACAACTTCAGCATTTCTTTCATGTATGAGAGAAGCAGCTTGGCAATTCTTAAAATTGTGCTTGTGTTTAGGAATTAATAAAAATGTGAAGGTATAACAGAAGAAAGACCATAAAACCTGACAGGAGGGTCCTCCTGAAGGACATTGTGTGATGGTGGGGGGATGAGGATTCCTGGTCACTTGACAGAAAAAGGCAGTGAATGAGTTGAATCACTGGAATTTAGCTGGAGACAGTACAGGACATGCAAACAGCAGGTGGGTTCTGAGTGTCAGATCCAAGGTTGTTCAGCTACAACAGTGATTTACAGTGGCCACTGCTTTAGGTCAGCTGCCTTCAGCCCTGTAACAGTCACCTCTACACCATCCCACTTGTGACTGTTCCCATGCTGGCTCAAAACCACCTGAGGAACTCTGCCTTTGCATTTAAAAGGGAGGATGATCCTCTGTTCCCTGTTGATACTTCCATGGGAAAGAAATTCTTCCATTAAAAGTTAAAATGTCAGCACTCTGTCTTTTCCATGCCTAGCCTGGTTCATTATGGCAGCACAAAGGAAGGACTACAGCCTAGTTTATTTCTTCTGCTTGATTTGAAAGTACCAGAATTAATGGTTCATATGGTGACATGGGCTGCTTGTGGAGATAAAGAGGAGATGTAGGGTTGGAATTAAAAAAGGTGACAGGTTTTAAAATGCGTTCTCTACCGTCAGGGTTAAGACACTTTCAGCAGCAGTTCAGAGTCTTACATGTACTTTGTTTTGTAAAATGCTATGCTGCCAATAAAGGAAAAAATAGTTAAAGTAGCTGGTGGAAAATGACTTGCTGCCAAGGAGATTTAACTGGCCAGGAGATGGACTGTGGCTTGCTGCCATGGATGTTTAGACATACAAGAAGATGACAAAAGATGT